CACCGGCAGACCTAAAGGAGAGGAAAAAAATGAGGACATGCGACTAGTTTCTCTTAATCACTTAAACACACACACGCATTCTATCGTAAAAGATAAACATTATTTATAACAATGTCGATTTACGCATATTTATAGAGATTTTGAATAATGGGACGGCGGATCTTCAGCAAACCCGTTTGGCAAACCTGCTTACAACGCATCTGCGCCAACCACTCATTATTTTCTACGTCCCACAGTGCCCGTGACATTTGACATGGTCGACACAATTGCATAAGAATATTGAGACAGGATATCGGAAAATAATTATAAAATTCTTTGTGATTATTAGACATACAGGGTGTTACATTTCCGTTATGCTAAAAGAGACCTAAATAACAATTTTTTCCAAATAAATAAAAGGTCGCAAATGTTGCGTTTGGAAGCTACCCTTTAAAAATAACAAAATTACGGGAGATGAGAGAGACCATTCTGATTTCGAGTAAATTTGGTATTTCACTTTTAGAACTCCAAGTATATAAATCCATACAAATTTTTGTGCGTTAATTTGGTGATGTTTGTACCGTAAGGAACATGAATATAAAAACATGTGCTGAGATTCCGAGCCCTCAGATGGACAAACGGAATTCATGCACACCAATGTACTTTCTGTGATAAATACGTTAAAAGATTTGTTAATTTTCTGATACCTGATTTTTTTAGTTAACAATTTAGAATCTTAAAATCTATCTTGAAATCATCTCAAAATCCTCCTGGAATAGTTTAGAATTCTCCATTTAAAATTTTCTTAGAAACCTTATACAATTACAATCGCCTTCAGATCCCTCAAAATCATCTTAAGGTTTTCCCAGAATTTTTTTAGAATATTATTTCTATAGAAATGTCTTAGAATCTTTGCCACCTTTAGAATCTTGATGACCATTAGAATCCTTAAAATCGGAATTTTCTTCTTCTTAGCATCTTTTGTAGGAACTCGACTTCTAATCTTATCGAAAAGACGAAAACCCTCAGAGTCCTTCAAGAATTTTTTTAGAAACCTATAAAACCTCTAGAACTAGTGTCCTGAGAATGTTCTCATGAGAATGTTCTCAGAGTCTTTGTGGAATCTTATTAGATTAGAATCATATTAAGGTCTTCTTACTATCCCTGAGATTTTCAGAATCTTTAGAACCTGCCGATTTATTTTTCAAAGAATCTTCTTAGTATTTTTTAAAAATCTTTTTACCAGCTCCAAAGACTACTTTCATTAATTATCATTTTCCAGTCGATGGAAAGCAAGTCGATTTTTTATGAACTTTAGAAGCAAGACTTTCCCATATTTTTTGGTATATATCCCATAATATAATTTTTTTAAACTACTCATTACTACATTATCTACCGACTATGTAGCTGAGTGGGAGAGCGTTGGGCTACATAGTCGGAGGTCGGGTGTTCGAACCTGGGCTGAGGTTAGAATTTTTCATCTGTGGCAGAGATGGGAATTTACTTAGATTAATTTCGAGCATTCTGTCGGCAACTCCGAATCCAAACAAACAAAAAACAAACAAACAAAAAAGGTTACTTAGTGGGAAGAAGTCTAATAATACTTCTTGACCAAGAGCGTGTACTAGAGGTGTCCCACAAGGGTCAGGTTTAGCACCTCTCTTGTTTTCAATATATACGTGTGGTTTGATTAAAAGTGTGTATACTGATGATACCCAAATTTATCATTCTTTTAAGCACAGTGTTGCCGTTAGTGGCGTAAATAATACCTACTATGCGACCAAAAATGAGTTGCGGCCGAGTCACCTTTGGATTTGTTATTTGCATGGGAAATCGTAGTTCCCTTGAACTTCCAAAGGCGACTCGAAATCAAAAATGGTAACTTATATTATCTCAGATTTCACCAATTTTCATACGTGACGGCTAAAACTAGCCCCCCCCCCCCCCCCCACCTCCATCCTGTACTTTGATAAGAGGACAGAAAGGACAGTAGTTGGTAGAAAACGGTTCCTTTCGTTGAGAAAAGTTCGGGAAGAGGGGGAGGGGGGGGTGGAACTAATGTTATCCTTCATGCTCTAATTAAAGTTATCCCGTATCAAAATGAGGGGCTGGGAGAGACGGGGGAGAACTGGTTTTGTCCTTCATTGCACTACAATGAAAGGTTTCGACGAAAGAAATTCATTTCTATAATTCCTCATATCTCAATGGAGTGGGAGGAGGGTACTTACAAAAGGCGATTGGAACTTCTGGACCAAATATATCCATTGATGTCAAAACATTAAGAGCTAATATCTCGGTGTGTCGGAGGAGAAATTCGTAAAAGCAAAATGAATCGACTGGACGAGACCTATCTATTGCCGAGGACGAAATGAATATCTCGAAAACGAAGTGTTGGAAGAAGGTACTCACAAAGGAAAAGTGGAACAGTGACAATGACAAATATTTATTTCAAAACGCATGAAACAATTAAAACAAAATCCCTGCAAGAAAGAAAAGCTTACAAAGCTTGTTTGGACATAATACCTCGCACGCAGGCAGTCGATAATTAAAAATATTTACTTACGGTTTTTTTTCTTAAATAATCCAAGTAATCTGGTCGTAAAAGGTTTGCGATATTCAGGTGCACTTATCCAAAACACAAAAAGACTCACTGACAGCTTCAGAAAACTTTACTTCTTCTTTAATAAACTGAACTCAATGATTCGAATTGACTTTCGGTGGCAGCTGCTGCTGTAGAAACGGTCATTAAGCAGACAACTGCTTTCTCTGAATACGGACGCAAACCGTTTTAAAAACTTTGCAATCTTTTACTACTGCACTTGATGGTAACTCAATTCTTGTATTAAAACTAACAGTTAGCAGCCGCAGCAGCAGCCTCGTTTCTACGTTGACCATCAGATAATCTCCTTCCTCAAGATCTTTAAAATCAACCGCCAATCACAATTAGACCTGATAACGCCAGCTTCGAAGGAACGCCTCCCCACTTATTCCGAAATAACGCGCAATTCTTCGAGACACCTTGTCTCTTCTAGCAGCGATAAGAACACGTGTGTTAATTAAACTTCGTCCGATTAAACTTCTTATCGCCAACGACCAGATGTAACTTTTTTTTATAACGCAGACTTGACCAGATCTGCCTAACTTAAAGCATCTTATCTAAACAGAATAAATTAGAAAAGCGATAAAATTTAAACAAAAAAATTATACGCAATTACCAACATTTCTAAAAGGAAAATAGACACAAATTCAAAACCAAAAAAAAAAACCAACTAGGTGCTTATTTCGTAAATACTCCCCCAGATTTACATTTAATAAATGAAGTATTCTTATATACAGGATTTCCCGTCATTCTTTTCGGTGTTAGATTCAAATAACGTCTACAAGACGTTTACACAACAATATATTATTTTATTTTTTGATTCTAAGTACGTTCTATACACATGTTCAAGACCTAAATTTAGCCGCTTTTGGCACATTTTAATTTTTATTTTTTATATTGCATCCCAAATCATAAATTCCAATTTTTTCTATATGAGAGGAACTGGTTTTTTTTTAGAAGAGGTTCCGCTTTGGTAGACTGTGGTGATATTTTGATTACTGTCCGGCTAGCTCAATTAAACACAGGTACTAACAAAACCTTTAAAAGAAATATCTATAATTTTGTAACGAGAGTATTTATTTGAGTAAATTTTTTTGCGATTTTTCTCTGTTTAAAAAGAGTCAAGGTTTCAAGAACATTCCGCCAAGCAAATATTCCTTATGTTAAGTTTTTATTTTGTCGATTGTAATACGGCAAGCTGTCGTCATCGTCGCACACGCTCGTCAAGGAATTATTTGTTCTAAATTGTGTCTGTCGCCCCATCGTTTGGTTTTGGTTTTGAATTACACGCTGGAAATAAGTCATGTTAAGTTACTTCTGCAACTTTGCAAAATTAAGCGCAGCTGGGTAAAAATAAACTGACGTTGCAGAATTCTGAAGGTCAGTATACAGCCCTGAAAGCCAGTGAACCAATGAGTAGGCGTTAAAAGATGACTTAGAGTTCAGAGAGGGTATTTTACGAGGTATTTTATTTAACATAAGCAAACTCGCGTCAACTTTCTGGAACTAACTCGCAAATATTTTAGATGCATTTTCAAAATATGCATTCGTCGTGACATACCCTGTAGACTCAATTACAAATTGCGACAATTGCATATTGTTGCAACAATTGCTGCCATGGGTTTTAAACAATTATGTTTACCCCTAAACCATGATTAAATTTGACGGTGTATACGGCCATTAGTGGTAATTGACTTTGAATCGATTATATCGAAAAAGCTCATGTGATGGTTTTGTCCGCCTGTCCTTCTATCGATTTCTACGAGTTTAAGGATCAGTGCTATTGAATATGAGCCGGATCAAAAGTCTGGTTTCCGAATACGAGCTGAGTGACAAAATATTCCCCTACTGAAAATCGTATTCGATTCTTCGTATCTTGATGGCGAATTTTCGTGAGTGATATGGGGGGAGGGGGGTATAGTCAAGGAGCGAAATTCTGTATACTCTTAACCCACTTTACCATAATTTGTTAAACGACCTGATGTCATTAGGAGAATTATGATAACACTTTTATTGAACACAACAATTGATACAGACGGTTCTCACGCGGTCTATAAACTACCATGTTGTAAGAGAACCCCCTGTATATTTCCCAATATTATTTCCTGCAATTAAGGAAATTGCAAATGTCTCAAAAGTGCAAGTAAGTCGATTAGGGTTGAATTGAAAGTGAAACGAAAGAGAGGATTGCGTGCGTGATCTTGGACTACCATCGCGCTTCCGACAACAACAAAAAAAAACGAGGAGGCTGTAAAGATAAATTACGACAATTTAAACGAAACGTGCCAGTCCGATTTCTCCAAATTATGAATGATTATAAGGCGTACCTTTCTACAATCGCTCATCTCCATCTCTTCTGAGGAAGTGTGTCAGTGTGTCGTCTACCCGCCTCGCCTGTCCGTAGTATACGAGTTGTGCGTATCAACTTTTGTATTGTGCCGGCGAAGACGAAGAAGAAGACATTCACATCCCGACTTCCGATCCCCGATGTAGGTAGTTAGTGCGGTAGCTATGAGAGAGTGCGGTGAACGTATCCGTAGGGAGCGAGCTGCTCCCCTTAGTCCCAAGTTGGCCCTTCGAAGGGTTCTCGTGCTCGCCGAGGGAAGGCAATTTCGTGAGGCGGCGTCGATCTTGGCGAAGCTCGGACCGACCGCCCTCGCGACCGTCGCGAGCGAGCTACCCCTTGAGCTGCTGGTCGAAGGACTTCCGCATTCCGCGCAACTTTTGGAGACGCTGTTCAGTCGGTAAGTTGAATTTTTGGGAGCTCTACAGGGTGGTTTTAGCGATTTTAGTGAAAATTTCGCTTAAGGTATTTTCTCCTCGTGCGGTTCAGTGGTGCTTTATAATCGAGTGTTAGAAAAAATGTGCGCCTTTCGCCACTAGTGCATAAAGCTATCATTAAAGCCAAAGTAGCAGCGAGGCTTCTCTGGTAGGTCACTTTCACTGAAAACAATACAAAATTGCGCTCCTTTACTAGTGGCCCTCTTACCCTCCCAGTTCATAAATAACGAAATTGACGTCTCTAAGCACAATATTAGACGTGACCAACATTTAGCAATGAACCAATCGCATTTAGACGTGTTACCAACCAAATCAGTGTAACAGTGATTCAGGTTTTAGAAACTTTTCATAAATAAACAAAATCCATGCCTCATCCTTCCCGAATATATTTATTTAAAAATTCCTACTCCAAGATGGAGCATCTCTAATTTCCAACTAATTTTTTGATCGGGCAACAAAAAATGCTTAGAATATCATGAAATTTAGAGGGAGACACTCTGTATGTATTATTTCTAGCATTCCTACCCCATAATGGAATGGACGGTCGTGCAAAAACATTATGATAACGATATTTGATTATGGAGGGGGGGTCAGCACTCAGCATAACAATATCGAAGTTTTTTGAAAATTTGATAACAAAATTTCAACCCAAATTTTTGGTCGGACCACACAAAATGCTCAGAATGTCATGAAATTTAGAGGGTGCACTCTTATGTATTCGTTCAAAAATTCCTACCCCAAAATGGGAGTATCCCTCTACGGGCGTGCGATAAAAATAACGATATTTTTGTAATTGCAGAAAAGATTTTTTGAAAATGCTCAGAATGTCATGGAATTTTGAGGGTGCACTCTATAAAATTCCTTCCCCACCGTGTAGCACCCCTAGACAAGTGTGCAAAAAATAATTTTGGTATCAGAGGATTTCAACATAAAATCGAATTTTTGAACATTCGAAACAAAATTCAACTTCACTTTTTGGTCACACAAAAATGCTAGAAGTTTTATTAAATTTGGAAGTGCACTCTTTAGGTATTAAAGGTCCTTTCCCAAGATGGGAGCATCCCCAACTGGCGTGCAAAATATTATGATCTCGATATTTGGTATCAGGGAAGTTCCAAGATAAAAAATGAAAAAAAGTTCAACGTCAGTACTTTCTTGAAGATTCAAAAAAACTAATTTTACATCAATTTCTTGATCGGACCACAAAAACAACAATGCTGTCTTGAAATTTTGAGGCTGCATGTATTAATTTCAAAATTACTACTCCATTTTCGGTCAGGCCATGCATAAAATTCGTGCCTCATGGTCTTCCTGACACATTTTCAATTTTTTGGAATTTATGCGTGAATCCTACTAGAATGCCTCCAGAATGCCTCTTAACATTCTTTTGGACTAGTCATTTTTGAATTTTTTTAATTTCATTCCGGACCAGTTACTGAATTTAATGCACTCTTCTTGAAACTTTTATTGCCTTGGATTTGGATGTCAGTACATTTTACACATCTTACCAAGAGAACATGTTACAATGTTTCGTACCAGAAGTGTATTAATACATTCAACACTATTGGCGAATCTGTGATCCTGATACAACTCTTTCAACAAAAGAAATCGCTATCCATAGAACATATGACATGAGAAAGATCTTGCTACAATAGTTTTTGAAAAATTTGCATCCATCAGGAGAACATAATGCCTAAAATGTGTCTGTACTCTTTGTATTAGATTAGTATCTGTCAATTAATTAAAAAATTTAACGAGAAATGTTGTGCCAAGAGGGCATACGTACCTAAGTAAGTGTCTGTCAATAAAATCTTTACTCCTTTGTGTGTCTATAATCCTGACCAAATTTCTTCTGGCTTGATTGATATGGAAGCATAATAAGATAATAAACAGATTTTTGTTCTCCTATAAAAATAAAATTGATGCAGCAGGATCACAGAAAGGTATAAAATTTGCTGTTACTCTCCTTAAGGATTATTTTTTCCTGGCACACCTGTCTCTTTAAATTAAAAAGAGCACAGTAACGCTAAAAAAGTTTATTGCTTGGCTCCTTATTTGTTATATACCCCTCATTAAAATCTTCTTGTTCTTTTGCTACAAACTTCACATTAAACAGTTGTTACATCGGATTCACAGAACTGAAAAAAGGCATACATTTGTTTGCAAGCTCCTTACAATTTATACTTTTCCCATACAAATTTCTCATTAAAAATTCATATTCTCCTGATGCAAATTTTTCATTAAGGCTCACAATCACAGAAACGGAACAACCAGTAAAATTTATGTCCAGCTCGTGCTCACTTATTTTAATTCTCTTGATACCAAATTCATTTTAAACAATTCTTGTATCAGGAACACAAAAACGTAAAAATACATTTATTGATAACCTCCTTCTCCCTTATTACATTTTCATAATAAACAATTCTCATTAAGAAATTCTTCTATCAAGATCACAGAAGCGCAAGTATCAACAAAATCAAATCTTAATTATTTATTAATCTCTGGCAGATACAATTCATTTCATCAAAATTTCTACGAGGAGTATAAAATTTATTTCCAGACTCGCTCACGATTTATATTTTCCTGGTACAACTTTCTTTTTTAAAAATTGTATGAGGCTTACAGGAATGTAAAAAAGGTGTCACATTTATTGACAGGCCACTTTATTCCTGTTCCCCTGATACAAATTTCGCATTAAGAAATCCGTTCATCCGGTTCAAAGGATCAAGAAGGCCTAAACTTGTTGCCAGTATCTTCACGAATTATGTTCTCGCTCAATTAAAAATACTTGTTCTCCTGATACAAATCTCTCATTAACGATCCCAATCACAAAACCGCAAGAAACCGTTGAACTGTTTGTTTGACTATAATCCTCTTGATGCAGGTTTCATTTAGAAAAGTTCTTATATCAGGATCACAGCAGGGCCCTTCCCACTTTATTTATTATTTTCCGGATAACTATCCACTTCATCAGGATGACAGAAACGGAAGGGGAGAAATTTGTTGCCAGACTTCTCCGGATAAAAATTTCTTATCAAGAAATTCTTGTATCCGGAATACAGAAACGGTTCTCGTCAGGTTCTAATTTTTTTCTTGATGATGATTAAAAATTATTGTATTAGGTTCGCAGAAACGAAATAAGGTGTAGAATTTGGTTTCAGACTCCTTCTCACTCATTATGCTCTCCCGGTAGGCTTGTTCTCCTGATCAAAATTCCTCTTTAAGAAATTCTTGCATCAGGGTGACAGAAATGGTCTGATGACGTATATTCCCCATAAGAGATTCTTGTTCTGGCAGAAATTTATCATTAAAAATTGTAGCTGGATCACAGAAACGGAAAAAGAAGGTATAAAATTTAGTGCCCTTTCTCACGTTTAATATTCTCCTGTTAATTTGGTCAGGAACTTATTGTCAGACTTCCTCACTTATCACATTTCTCTCATAAAAGTTTCTCATTGAATTTTCTTGCTCCTTCGATAAGGGAAGAAATCATTAAGGAAATATTTTATCGGGTTGATAGGAACGGAACTGTCAAATTTTTTGCTAGACTCCTTATGTTGACCGAAGCAAATTACTCATTAAAAATTGTTGTTCTCCCAATAGGAATTTATTATTAAGAAATTTCTGTATCAGGATTACAGAAACGAAAGAAGCAGTAAATCTTATTGACGGAACCCTTCTTATTCCTCCTGATACACATTTCGTTTAAAAAAAAGTTGTATAAGGATTACAGAAACGGAAGAATTTGTTGCAAACTGTTTCTTATTAATAGAAATATTTCATTAATTAATTTTTATAAACCGGAGAAGGTATAAAATTTACTTTCAGAGTCATTTGCACGAATTATGTCATCGTGCTATATCAGGATTAACAAAAACGGAAGAAGTAGTGAAATTTATTGTCCCTTCTCCTGATACTTATTTGTTTTAAAGAATTTTTGTAGCAGGCTCACAAAAACGCAGAAAAGATTTAATATGTATTACCAGACTTCTTCTGCTTATTATATTCTTTTTATCTCGCTTTTTATACACGTTTTTCATGAAAACATTTTTGTATCAAGATCATAAAGACGGAAGAAGAAAAAATTTATTGTCAGACTCTCTCTCACTTATTCTATTGCCCCGATACAAATTCTGATTAAAAATGTTTGTATCAAGATCGTCCAAGAAACGGAAGAAGGTCTAAAACTTACTGTCAGCCTTCTCACCCTGGATATAAACTTTTTTTTAAATAATGCTTACTTTTCTGATACAATCTTATCATTAACAAACTGGTGTATTAGGATTGCAGAAACGGAAGAAGCAGTAAAATTGATTACTGGACTTCTTTTTACATGATACAAATTTCGTTCTAATATTTCTTGTATCAGGGACACATAAACGCAAAACACACATTTGTAATTAATAAATTTTTGTATCAGAATCACAGAAACGGAAGCAGGTGTAAGACTTTTTATCAATTATCATCTTATCAGACACGCAAAAAGACATCTTATACATATTTTTCATTAAGAATTTCTTGTTTTTGTAATTATAAGTTTATCATCATGAAATTGCTGAATCAGGGTTACAGCAATAAACTTCAGGAACGAAAGAAGGTGTATTACTTATTGTCGCTCTCGTTCCCATTTATTATATTCTCCTTCTCCATATTTTCCATTACAAAATTCGCGTATCAGGATCACAGGAACAGAAGATGTAAAATTTGTGGCCAAACTCTTTCTAGCGCATTACGTTTTTCCGATACAAATTTCTCATTAAGAAATTCTTGTTCGGTATCATAAAAACCGAGGAAGCAGCAAAGGCTCGCTTATCTCCTGATACAAACTTGGTTTAAAAAATTCCTGCATCTGATGAATTACAGATATGGAGGAAAGGTGTAATATTTATTGTCACACTCCTCATTTATTATATCTTGTTTGCACATTTTTGATTAGGAAATTCGTATATCAAGGCTACAGAAACTGAAGGAGGGGTAAAATTTGCTGCCAAACTTCTTTTCACCATTGTTCCCCAGATACAAATTTCTCATGAAGAAATGTACGTTAGGACTATCTCAGAAACTGGAGATAATATAAAATGCCAAATTCCTTCTGTATTACGGTATCCTGGAAACAAGTTTTTCTTTGAAAAGTTGTATCGGTAAACGTAAAAACGTAAAAAAACTGATCAACTTTTCCCTGTGCTAATACGGGTTCCGAGAGTGCAGGAACGTCTAGAATTGATTAACAAGACATTTTCTGACTTATGATGTTCTCCTGGTTCAAATTCCTTATTAAAAGATCTTTGTTCGTTTGATACAAATTTTGTGGTATTAGGATCACAAAATCGGAAGAACGTAGAAAATTTAGAATGCTTCTCAAGAATTATGTCATCCTGGATACAAGTGTCGCGTTATATCAGGAATACAGGAAGGTCTAACACGATATCTTTTCACATATTATCTGCTATAAATTTTTGAATCAGGACCACGTAAAAGCCAGAAGGTCTAACATTTATTGAGCTACCTCTCCTCGTTTCATAAATATTTAATAAACGTATTGTATCAGGCTCGCAGAAAGGCTCGAATGCGTAAAATTTATTGATACGCACCTGCTTGCGTATAATTAAATTGCTGGTGTTGGTGGTACAGATTGCGAAAAATGAATTTTCGTTTTGGTAATCAAACGTTCACCCGGTATAAACATAGTCGCATATAATTTATGCCAAATTAGTATATCGTATACAAGCAATAATTTATAAATAATACTTTCCGTCAACTTTCACAACACAAAATAGACTCTTATTCACAAGCTGCAGAGAGTCGAGCGTCTCTGATCTCAATTTTCTTCATTAGGTCACATTTCCCATGGATGAAAACGTTCTCACATTCGTACCTTCTAGCCATTGTCCTCAAAGAATTTATTTAATCTCTCTTTTTTTTTAGATTGTTAACGTCGAATCCATGTCCGAACATAAATACGGAACCGGTAATATGGCAATTAGTACGGCTACTGGCGGCGCACGAGGACTCCGGTTTGAAAGGGAAAATTCGAAAGTTAGCACAGATTTTGGCCGAATACCAGCCAGATATTCGGCGAGTGGTTGTGACCAAACGGAAGGCTTTCGAAGAAGCGGTCAAAGGTAAGGGTATCTTGCGATGTAGCTTTGTGACGTCTAAATTTCAGGTCTCGGTTGTCACGGTCTGACGCCGGACGTCGGCGGTCTGACGCACCTTCACGTGGCCCTCAAAAACGAAATAACCAACCACATTGAGGCTTACAAGACGGTCCTGCACAAGCTGGACGATTTGGGCCTCGTGACAAATGACAGTAAGAAACCGGTGGACGCCTCGCACCATCGACTGCTGTCGTTGCAGTTTGAGGACGTGCAGCAGCGTCTGATTGATAATACGACGCTGCTGACCACTTTAGATAAGCCCGCCCTGAAGCAGCTGAAGGTCTTAATCGAGACCTTAAGCAAGCGAGTACAAAATGATAAAGAGGCCCTTTTTTGCATATCACAACTTAAAAGGTTCGTTTATATAAAGCATTCTATTGCGCCTGATGATTATGCAACTAAACATACGCTTTAATTAAGATTAATTTAAACGCTTTCTCGTCTTTGTTCCCACGGGAACTCCTGCTAATTAGTCGTTGCAATGTAACGCGGAGTTTCATTGTACAAGAAATGTATGCAGTCGGCTAGCTCAATTTGACGGACATTTTTTTCTTCGGAGAATGGACTTCTCTTGCCGCTCCTCTGCTTCAGATCGCTTAGTTGCCAATAAATACAAATCCAAACTCTACCTTCTTCTACAGCAACAATCCAATGTTAAAATTACAGAATTAGTAGTAGAGCTGTAAGATATGAAAAAAGTGCCCATTTTTCTATTTAAAACTTACCGATTTCCCCATCAAATAATGAAAATGATCTTACTCCTGTTTACAAACATTATACCTGGTTTTCAACTCAGCTGGAAGATTCTCGTCATTTAATAATATTACATTTTTTCTAGCTGGGTCCACCAATTAAAAATCATTACAGTGTTATTTCTCTTTTGTTGGTAAAAAGCTTACTTTTGGAGGGTACGTTGCCCCCCCCCCCCCGAACAACGACCCCCTCTTCCCTGGGTGAGTTCTAACACTAGCAGTAAACGTTTTTAGAGAAAAAACGTAGCACCAGGTGCTCTTCACGCTAATTGCCCGTGGTGTAAGAACGAAATCTTGTTTCTCTGTCGCGCTTCGACGAGAGCTCCTTCGCGGCGTCGTCTGAATCACTACGACTGGATTCCCACCCCTGTAATTTTTGAAAACCAATCAATCGATCATGCGAACACCCAATCCGAGCCAACTTCTTCTCAACCAATGAAATCCCTGAAAACCCAAACTAGCAGATAGAAATCTGTTCAGCGTGGAGTGCTATATCTTGTATCAACAATTCGCAGCCTGCTTGAGAAGCTCTCTACCACGACTTATTGACGCCGCTAACTTTCACGCGCATTTATTTGGACAGGACTGTACTCGGCCCACAGAAAAAATTAGGAAATTCAAATTAAAATAAATCCGTTAACGATCTCCCGTTACACTAGGGACATAAGAATTTTTTTTCAGAATTTTATATAAAAAGTATACATACAAGTTATATGCAGTAAACTCTTTGCAAGGCAAAGTTTTATTTAACAAATATCTTTATGCCTCTTTACAAAAAAATTCACCCACTTCTTAAAAGACATTTTGGCTCAAATTTCAATATAAAAACTTCCTAATAAAACAACGACATATTATTGTGCGTTATACACTGTGTCCAAGATAAGGATGTCTATCATTACAATCTTCGAAACCATAGAAGATACGACGATGGTCAATTAGAGAAAGGATGCACAGATAAAGAGTTATTGTGATGCTTTAACGAAAACAATAAAATTCCGATTACTTCCGAAGATATATCCAAAAAACCGAAAGGTGCTGTTCTTATTTTTTTTTGTTATTTGAACAAAAACACTTTTTGAGCTCTACATTCTAAAAGATATCGTTTAGAGATTTTCAATACAACGTTTCGTTTCGGAAAAATGAGCATCAGCTTTATTTTTTATGTGGCCCCTAAAAAAAGTACACACTGTATTGAGTAGTATTTTTTTTATTACGAATACGAGGTACGGTCCATACAAAAATAAACGAAAGTTGGAAACTGTTGGTTTCAACAGGATGGTGCACCCGCACATAACGCCCAAATGGTGCGAGAATACCTATCGGGCCAATTAAAAAAATCTGGTACGCGTTAAAAGTACTTTCGAGCTCTTCATTTTAGAAAACTTTTTAGATCTAAGCTAGTGTGGTACAAGAGCTTTAAAAAAGCGCCTACGCGACGCATTTTAGAAAGCCCTTGTAGGCTCTAATAGATTTTTTAGTACTTAGTACTGTGTCGCGAGAAGAGGTTAGCTTAGAAAAGGTCTAGAGGTAATCCTCGAAGAGTGTCGACAACTTTAACGCCTTTCGGTAAAGCGCTCTTCTCTTTGTTTCTCTTTTTGATATTGATCATCCTGGCGCGTTCACCTTGTCGTCTCCCTTTTGGATTCATCTAACGCAAATTTAATTATACGTGATTTATTTATTTAATATTAATCTTAATGAAATTATAACAGTCTTGTACACGAATTTATAACATGTATACTTAGCACATACTAGCGCAAACTTCACTAGTAATCACTTCGGCATCGATAGTGGAACTTATAATAAGCACCCTTCAATTTGGTTATATACCAAACGGAAAGTTTCTAATAAAAAACACGGAACACTTTCGAAGAGTCTAGAAGACATCCGCTTTCACTCTTTATCGTCTGTGACTAATCTTTTATCGACGTGATGGCGCCTGCTGGCTCACCGATGTGTGGGATAAGTTTGTTTTTATTTCCCATTTAAGCTGTCCCAGCTCCAGAAAAGGTGTTGACCTATCTAAAGCTCCACAAAGGGCCTAAGAAGATCCAACAATGTACTTATGGGGCTTTGCAAACCGTGACAATGTTCTGGAATCGCTTCTAAACGCGTGCCAAAGCGTGCTGTAAGTACTTTTCAGAGTTTTTAAGCGAACTTCTGAGGTTTTCTTCTCTTCTGATCATCTAAGCCCCTTACAAGAGCTTTTCATGCCTTTCGAGGATTACCAGGCCTCCTATTAGCTTTCCGCAAAGCCTTTCCCAATTTTGTTTGCACTTTTCAAGAGATCGTCTAGCCCTAAAAGCTGCGAAAAGGACCTGCACAGTTGCGGAAGGTCAGAGAGGTGATCTGTAAAGGTGTTAATAAACTCAGGAAAGCACTTGCAATATTATAGAAAGATTTTAGGGAATGTCCATAGCTTTCAGATGCTTTCCAAACATTCTTGTGCTTCCCAAAGCATTCGGGCAATTTCTGGGTGCACTTTCTACCCCATATTTAAAAGTCTAGTCTTTCCCTAAACTGGGCTAGCCTTGGAAAGGCAACAACTCGCAAAAGGCTCTCTATAATTTTTTAGAGCATTTGTAACTCGTGTTGGAAAGTCAACTTTCCTATTTCTTTAGCATTTTTTTTTAAATTTGAACCACAGATGCTTCTAGTAAAGGCAAACATATCGCATATAGTAAATATCTGATGTGCGAAATGCTAATTTTCTTAGTTATGGAGATATTTTTTAAAAAATTAATTAAAGTAAAGGCAAACAGTGCATATATTGTATAAATCAGGTTAAGACACAGTAAAACTTGAGCAGGAATAGCGTGTTTTGGAGTCTATAAAGTCTTGAAATGCGCTTCTGAAAAACTGTCTATTTTTCTGGAAGGATTTGGAAACCGTTTAGGTATAATACGGTTTAGACGCCATTCCGGGTACTTCCCAAGGTGCTTTCCGAGGACTTCTTAGGCACTTCAGTCATTTCATAGTTTCTATTTCCGATAAGGGGTTGATCTAGGGAGCTATCCTAGACAATTCTGGAATAGCTAAAGACGCAGGAAAAATGTTAAAAAGACCTTTAAAATACGCATGCTGTACAATCCAAAGCTCTGTGGATGCCTTTTTCACTATACTTTTTTTTGCAGAACTTCATGTGGGCTTTCTAGGGTTCTATGTATCTCTTCTACCGCTTTTCCAGGTTTTTATAGTGCTTTCTCAGAGCGTTCTCGGCCTTAGAAATCAGTTAAAAGGGCCTACAGGGCTCTTGACACACAAAAGGGTACTCTGGAAAACATCTGCACGATTTTGGAATTTTTGTGCTTTCCAGAGTCACTAAAGTGCTTTCTCAAAAACAGTTGGAGGATGTCTAGGCTGACACAATTTCGAGAATTCATTATTTTCAAAAAACAAAAAAATTGTGGAACTTCTTGTGCGACGAACTTCGGTAGTCGCGCACAAAGATCCTACAAATCGGCGACTAATCTTGAAATTCGTGTCAATTTAGCCCGCTTTTAATGCCACTAGGCCCAATCTAATCAGACGAAGTTTGCTGCAACACGATTGATTAACTACGGTTAATTATACTCACTTAATTGGCCGGATTAAAATTTCCAAATTCGGTAGCCTAGTAATGCCCATTGTTACCGAGAATTTCGAATCAATCGCCAAAGGTCTGCGATAATGAAATAAACTGTAAGGCTAAAATTAGTTAATAATTAATTAATTAACGGATCTGAAATCCTAAAATGTTTATTTTCCATGAGGATTGTCGGATGCCTTTTATTGTATTTGTTATGGCACAAACCTTTATTTAAAAAATGTTGCATTAGGCGCACGGGGTTCGAAAATGTCAGGTTTCTAATTGTTAGACACCACTTCCACTCACTGAATTACATTTAAGCAAATTTTTCTTTCATACATGGTAATCTAACTTGAAATAAATTCAGTAAATCAGGTTTTTTTCGGAAATATACTCGGACACATCGATTAGTACTTTAAACTGCACTCTTTTTGATGTAAGAAAATTTTATACAGGGTGTACCAAATTTGAAATATGACATCGATTTTTTGGATTTTTTAAAAAATTTTAACTTTTGCCCGCTGCACTATACTGCACTTCGTCAATCTGTGGATTATCCAAAAAGCTCCAAAATGTTAACAAGACGAAATTTAAATATTTTACAACTTCGGAAATTTAGATATTCTTAAAAATCAAAATTCCAACTTGTAAGATTCTGAAAACCCATACAGGGTGTTTAAAATGAGAGGAGGTAGGGCGTCATCATTAATTTTTTTAATGGGACGCCCTGTGAAAAGTGGGTGGTCATTTTTTTTCCATAATGCAACTACTAACATGCGGGTGGTAAATGCAACCTTTTACAAGGTCCGAGTGCTGAGATCTCAAACCTTCACTAACTACTAACTAACGTGCGGTAAAAAACCAGGCTGGATATGTGATTGGTTTATTTTTTTCTATCGCTCTAGCTTTACGCTCTAATGTTGCTGCGGTTATGCAACCAAACATACTTCAAGTATCGTAACTGTATAACGTGTCGCCTACTTGCTGCATGTATGTTGGGTTGCATAACAAGAGCAATTTTAATTGCTGTGGTATTTAAAAATACGCGATAATTTACAGATTACAACCGATAGACGAGAACAAACCCGTAGCTACACTTCTAATGACATTTACCAAAGGCTGTGGCGCCCTCTTGGAGCTTATGCAAGCGCCGGAAAGTCCTTGCCACAGCGATGGTTATCATTCGGAATCGGAACAGGAAGTTGATAAGAGGTACTATTCAATTTGCGTACGTGTTTGAGGAATTGTGCGCAAATGGGAAATCCCAAGATTCGGAAAACCCTTTGAGCCTTCGCACGAATGCCCCAATTTAATCCCGCGCTTTTTTTATAGGAACGATGCAACGGATCGATACGCTGCACTTTACTTTCAAAATCGACCTAGAGCGCTAGAGGCATTAGATTCACTTCCGGAATTGCAATATGCGACGCAATTAAAAGCGAAAATCTTATTCTCGGTGGTTGTCGTAAGTAATTAAGATACTCAATTAATTAATTATGTCTCTAATGGGGACATCGGCAGCTTGCTTTTAGGACTTGCAAAAATTTGCGAGAATCGAAACTGAGAGAGACGCTACGTAGTTTACACGTGGACGAGCGGACGTCGGTCGCTCACGTTTTTCGCGCGCAATTGATGCGCTGCCTCGCGTCGACGGCCGACACCTTTCCACTCGTGGACGCCGAGCACCAGGTGCTGGCGCTCCTCTGCGACACTCTGAAGGAGTACGAGTGCCTGAAGACGTGCGCCGCTCTCAGAACTTACGTATCCAACGTCACCGGCGTCTGCTGGTACATCGCCAATCAGGATCCTCCCTACGAATTGGACACCGACTTCCAAATTCCGATTCGGTTCCAACCCGAACGCCATATCAAGCACCATTCGTCCGACCGAATGAGCAGCACCGTACGGGCGTACTTGTGGCCCGGACTTAGAAGTAGGTCCTCGTGCGCCCACAAGGCCGTCGTGATCACGAATGGCACTTAATCTTAAAAAAGGAACTTGCGGTTTCGTTTACATTATGCAAATATTTTTAATTCTGTGATAGCGGTTAGGAAAGCTGATTTCTATTATACAGTTTTGTTCGCCAGTGTCGGCATTAAAACTATTGTTTAATAATTAGGACAACACAAATAATCAATAATAAACATCCTATAACTGAAGCCAAATGGCATTTTACATTTACAAAAAAATTTTTATTTTATTATTTTATATATTATTTTAAATAAAAAAATGTAGATGTCAACGTTCTGGGTTGATTTAGTAACCGCAACCGCATGTTTACGGTCTCGCCCGGTCTCGGTCACAAGAGAGGTATCAGCGTGCATTGATAAGGTCAAGGCGATATGGAATTTTTTTTTTCGAAACTACTGGTGGTATTGCTATTGTTTTTGGAACAAAAATGGCGATTGATGTAACCGGTTGCCCCTGCCGGAAACTCGCATAATATTTTTTCTATAGCATTCTATCTCTGAAGTGATTCAGGTATCCGGAATATATTGAAGCAAATTCTTGTCACATTTTTCGGGAAACAAAGAGTTTTAGGGCGAATTTGTAACGGTTAGTTACATTGCAAGGGCTGAAGACCCTCGTTAGCACTGAATAAAATTGATCCTCTACGGTACTGGTAACAAAATTTCTATAACCATTAATTTTGGATTTTTTTACAACTTGCAGTGTGGTAATACAGAATGAAACTCGTTTAAGGATACTATGATTGCGTTAAATAAACATCTGCTGCAAATTCTTATAGATAGCCGGCCAATACTTTATACAATTCAGTTTTTCTTTAGGTTCGAAATGGTACGGCCCTTCAATGGAAAGGCCCCCTCCAGGAAAATTGAAAACAGGGTCGCATTTGGGGTTATACAGTTGAACCTTTGAGACCCACAGACTATTCGCTCAATTTTTATACACGAATTTGACTACCAATTCAGACTCACAGACACTTTTACGCGTTGATTGCGACGATCTTTCGAAAAATCGTCCTATTGAACTTGGGTGATCGTTAAAATTGAACGAAGAACTCGCACACTATCGAAGTCTCTCCTTTTTCTCTCTCTCTAATTTTCTTTACAGATGAACTTTGCGTTTTTGGATGCACGTACATAAACGCACACAAAAACGGCCGTCTGTAGAGTGCCATATGTATTTGCCCAAGTAAAAAACTGAAACAGAAATTAAGCAATTGTCTCGACCAAGCCCGCTGCGATCTAATAATCTGCCCGTATTTCATTCCCCTACATCCGTCTCGTACCAAAGAATCGAACCCGGGCCGTCCTGGTGCAAGACGGGTGTCCTATGCACTAAGCCACTGTGTGTGTTATACATATATTTTTTTGAAAGTTTATCCAAAGACAAGCATATCGCATAATGTAAAAACCAGATATCATCTTTCTTATTTATAGAGATATTTTCTTGAAATTTTATTTATTTGATTCCCTGTATTTAATAGTAGGCGAAGTATTAGCTTGATAGCTATTCTCCCCATTCAACTCACTATACACCATAAACAGCCATGCCTTATCTGGTTTTTGAACCCAGGACTCTTGCAGTCAAAGTAAGACCTTCTAACGTAAATTCATCTGAGCTACGCAGTAGTGAAGGCAAACATATCGCATATTTCAAACATCAGGTGTGCGCATGCGCAGAAATGCTAAGTTTCTTATTTATTTATGCCATAACTTATTGTCCTTTGTCCGTTAATGACTTTTCGGGAGAATGCGCTAAAATTACACCTTTTTTTTCATTTTTTGAAATTTTAATCACAAATGTTTCTTGTAAAAAAATCTTATTGCATATAGTAAAAATCAGGTGTGCGCATTTTCAGATAAAGAAAAGGAAATACAGGGTGCCCTATTTTGGACACTTTTATAGAGTATCTCTGTAATTGTTAGTGCTATCAAGAAAGTAATATAGGCGTACGTAATATGGGCCCAACTAAAAATGATAAATCAACAATTGAACATTTTCACTCGCTTAATACAGGGGAAAATCAAAAAATGGTCGATTTCAAAATGACCCTATATGCATTTTCTTAATTAAAAGATATACAGAAAAATGTTTATTACAAAAGTTAAATAACATTCCGTTTTCAATATGTGCTCAGGTGGAAATTATCAGACCTAACTTCATTTTTTTAAATTACACACTGTATATCTTATTCTAAAATGATAACATATCATATTTTCATTTCAAAAATATAACACTAAATAAATTAAATATTGCTTCAAACATCATCAAAAAAGATTTTAACAAATTCAAAAACCTATTTGAAATTTGTTTGTATTTTTTAAAATAATTTTTTCCTAAAATTTTTTACATTTTTTAATCTGAATTATTTTTGATTTTTCTTTCTTCATCTTTTTGAATATTTATTTTATGTGTATTTTTGTATTTTTTAAGTGGGCGGGGTTCCAGCCGCACTCCACTCCGCGCCACACGGGCCGGTTCCCGGTCCCTAGTGTGTTCTATTCTTGAGACGAAAAGTTAATGTGACATCCTTTTAGGTTAAAATATACAGGGTGTTCCATTAAAAAAAGAAATTTTTCGGTATCTCTTGGCTAGGTAATCAATACGCAGTCATTTTGAAATTGAAAATGTTTTTATTTCCCCCCCATATCTGTTAAGTCAGCGAATATTTTTCAAATTTTGATTTTACCATTTTAAGTTTGACCCAAAAAGGCCACATGGCGCTTATATTACTTTTTTGATAGCCTTAACAATTAAAGAGATACCCTATCAACGTGTCGAAAATGGAACACACTTCCCTGTGGAAGTGTTTGTTATCTTTTTAATGAAACCGATTGAGATAAAGAATTCTAATTGATTATAAAAACCAGAAATTAGACATTAGATATTTTGTTAGCATTAAGAACTAAACATTTACTTAAACATTACATTTCAAAAAATATCAGTTATTGCTATATACATTTCAAAAAAGGTACTACCTGAGGTTTTTTTTGAATTTTTTAATGTCAGTATTCAATGGAAAAAGATCTTGGAATAATACCCAGTGAACTTTTATACCTTTTTTTAGACTTTTATTGGATATCTGATTCCTGATCCTGATCTCCTTAAGAATCTTTCGCTTCCCGATGCTGTCTTCGAAATCTTATTAGAAATATTCTTAGACGGAATCATCACATTCTGAGGAATCTCAGTCAAAACTTCCGAAATCATGTTTGAAGCATTACGGTATCCTCTTATAGAGTCGTTCGAAACCTTCCTTAAGGAATATCACAAGAAATATTCTCGAAAATCTTCTTAGGAATTTTTTTGAAAATATTTTTTAGAATATATGGAAATAATAATAATCTTAAAGATCGTTCCAGAAAGATGTACTATACACTCGTTAGCTATCATGATCATAAACAATCTAAAAGAGGGAGTGAGGGGGGCAAACCAAAAACGAGTTTTTGTTTCTCGTGTTTTCAGAGGCCAATACAGAAGAACGATTTTAAAATAAAATTGTTGACGTTTTGTGTACAAATGAAACTGTGTGATAATTGCTGGTATTCCGTAGAATGCTATTTTCAATAATTAGTTTGGAAGTGACGCACAGAGAGCAACGAAAATGTACATCAATTATTCTTAAACAACGAACTAATCGACAAAGATTGTTTTCCCAAATTCGCTTTGTACATTGATATATTGGGTATATGTATAGATAATACATTGTGAAGTTTTTATAATAAAATTGGTGCGTAAAATAATAATTTTATTTTTGCAAACGGACAAATATAACGATTTTATAACGAAGCTTTTCAGCGTAAACACATGCGTATAATGTCAGTTGTATTTTTAATATGTTTTCAGAAGGTATAAAGGGGCTCTTGAGATATATTATCCCCCTCAATCATTTCTACAAGTCAGCGCCCCTGCATCCCACTAATATGAATGTATAGCTTGGTTTTCTCATTTCCAAAACAAAGCTTTTTGGCTGGCACCTTGAGCTTCTCTTCAGAATATTCACCTACTAATTTTGCATATTTTTCTTCAATCCGCCCCACTCAATAATTAGGCTTCGATGTGGCGCAAAATTGAAGAAATTCATTCGCGCGCTTCTCACGCGACAACTTAGGAAACCATTTTCGGTGGGGATAAAGATCATTTAAAGTTTCGTAAATTTTATGGGATTTTTTAATTTGTTTATTACACTCACTTACGTACGTAGGTACTCAAATATTTCCACGACAATACCATTTGTATAATTACGGCCATTAGAAACGATTACATGTATATCTTATTATTAATTAATTCCAAAGACGTCACCACATACAAAATTAACTTGTTTAGCGATGTCAAGAATTTTTCTCTATATTTACTTTCACCTATTAATGTTTCTCTCCTTTTTTTTTAAAGTAACTCGCGCTAAAATTAGCCAGAGAGCTTGTGCGCGTTTAATTTGTATGCGGATTATAAATAGATTTTAAAGTAGTTTATTTATGGCGTCGAATTTATGTGCCGAAATGTCAATTTTTATTAATTACGTAATTGATTGGCGAATAAATATTTAAAATGTACTATCCTCAGGTCGGCGTCGATGACGTCCGTGTACAGATGGCGTCACTTTCTCTAACCTCAAAATACGTTTGCGTGATGACGGCGAATGGCGCCGGTTTTTGCAGCCTAACGTGACTCCGTATCAAGGGCGCATGCGTCTTTTTTTGAATGTCGGCGCCATTTTCAAAATAATTTGACCTCTGTAGGTGCTTGTTTTTCGTTGCATTCGATTCAAAAAAGTCCTCAGATAATGCTGAATATTTTAAGTGGAGATATACAGGCACTTAGCGGTTGTACATTAAAAAACAATTCGTGTGAAAAATTTAATTACACTATATTATAATTAAGCCCATTGTTTCCTCTATCTTTTTCGTAAAGTCCATATCAACAAAGCTATAACTAATAAAAGCTGTATAAATGGATATTTAGTTAGTTAGCTGTTTCTTTTTTTAAAAACAGATGGATTCGTTTTATCTCCACTCTATCTTCGTTAGTTTCCGACATTCTTATGTTTAAACCGCAAGCAAACATAAGACATTTTCTGCATGGCAGGTTCTAGTTGCTCTATTGCTACGTATCTTGCTCTGTCTTCTTTCTCATCGTCTGAATTCTCTTTTCTTTACTCTCCTTGCCGTCCACAGTTCCTTCCATTACGTCTTTTAACGCATCCATCTTTTGTTAATGGTGTCCATGATTGATCTCCTCTTTCTAATGGACCTTCTAAATCCTTCTCCAAAGCTTCTCTTCTTTTTTCGTCCTCCTTCATTATTGTCCCTGCCTTACAACCATTGGCCATTACGTTCCAGACAAAGAACATTGCTAATCTTGTTTTCAATTCAAAATCCAGGTTGATTTTGAGCATTTTGCAGACGGTTTTAGCCTTTATCTCTTCCAGTTTTCGTACCTATTTGCTTTCCATCTTTTCAAGTTGTTTTCTATCAGTTCCTGCACACTTTCCGCTTTCTTCATATCAACAAAACACATTTTCAAAATGGCTCCCCTTCCCTAAGCATCTCTTCGCAATTGTTCTCAGAACCGCAATTGCTTAATCTAAATCTCCTGTTCTCCTGATCGTAAGATCATTGGTTGGCGTTTGGAATGCGTGTAAATTCTTGGGAGAGGTTTTATTTGGAACTTTTGTCTTAGTTTTGGTTCTTTCCACCACTAAAAATTTTTGATAAAAATTGCAGGTCATACTTGCGTTAATTCCGTCCATCCGTCTAAGGGTTTGAGATCTCGGAACTCGGATCTTTTAAAAGTTCGGTTTTGGGGTAGGTACGCTTGAAAAATACGGTTTAGCCAATCGGTATTGCGACGGATTTATTACTTGTTTTCATACCTAAATGATACACCCTGTATAATATTTTTAAAATGTGCTTTAATAACAAATGCAACTTATTTCTCGGTCTCTCTCTCTCTCTCTCTCTCTCTCTCCTGCTTTCTAACTTGCATTTTAGCAAAATTAATTATAAATCTTTGAATATATTTGACGAGCGAAATCAATAATGAAATAGACCCAATTTACAATTCATTTTCGTGGCCACGATCTTTTGAACTATCTCCTTAATACAATATCAAACCTAATAACAGTATAGGACAATATTGTTTTTAACACACAATTCAGTTGATCAGAATGAATCCATTAATTTGGAAATTCTCTTTATTAAACTTTACACAAACCAACTTGAAATGGAAAAACCGATTTTTTTAGCAAACCTAATGTCAGTGAATTCATAAATGGTACAATCCATGTAATACAAATGGCTTCAATTTGTTCTCTGATTGTTATCTTTAAGAAAACAAATCCAATCTTCCGTTGTTTAATTTTACAGAAGTAAAATATCGGTATTCCATATAAAAAGTGCCCTCCTGTAGATGACGATGTTCAGATAAAATAGGTTTGAGAGGTCCCTTCTTATAGAGACAATATTTCGGAAATTAATTTCACTGAGAAAGATGTATGCAGCCGATTTTTTATTATTGTTTTTTTCGGATGCGGACGATTACAACAAATTTTACTATGAAGAATTCTAACGACAGGGTCAATTTCTTTTGTTTCTTCTCGGCGAATAACTTGATACGAAAAGTTAATAATAACCTGCGAAAAAATACTTCATCGGCACACTTAATTGATTTGTCCGTGAATGGTTGTAATTTGTGGGACGGAAAATGCGTTAACGCCGCGTTACAGTTTTTCTTTATCCTAACTGCACAATGATCTCTTCCAAAACAAACATGTTTAATTAATTCACTTATCTGAGCTTTTAGCTTGACGCGGTGATGCCTCCAAAAATCTCATCAGATTAATCCCTACCTATTCCTTCTCTAATTAATTAACAAAACTAATTAAGATAGGAATTATCGACTGCTGTCGCAGATAAATTGGCACCTACGATTTCCGAAAGTAATATTAAAAGATCAACACGCTACAAAATTTAAATGCGTAGAAAGAAAATATGATCGCTATTTTTAACATGGACTTATGAGTTTTCTAGAGATTACACAGGGTGGTTAAAAGTATAGGCTCGGTAATTTCAAAGGTTTAGTAAATGTAGAATCGTGTGAAAGTCTCCAAAAAGGGTGAAGAAAATGTGATTTTCTTCTCTAGTGAAGAAAGTAAAAAACAATTGCTGCGTTAATCTTAATAATTACATTTAAAATTGAAACATATCGGTATCTCGATTGGTATGTGTCAAACTAGCTTCATTATTGCATACGATCATTTTTCAATTTTGATTGTAGTGTCAGAAAAAATTATGTGTAAAGCTTGAGAAGAACGTGTTTTTCAACTTTCTTTGAACTCGAGTTGAAAAACTCCACTTTCTTCTCTAGTTGTACAAATAACTATTAAAGACCTTATTTTTCTGTGTATAATCTACAACAATTGTGCCAGGTTTTATCATAAAAAAACTGTGAAAAAAATGTCAAAGTTAAAAAACTAAAAAAAAATTTTCGCAAAAACGGTTATTATGATTTCGTTAAAATTTTGCAAATGTACATTAGGCATAAAGGATGTAAAACTGTCAAAAACTGTTTTTAATATCTTTCTATGTCCACACTCCTTACTTAAGGATAAGTTGTAAAATTTTATTCTTATTCTTTCGTTTCGATTGGATAAGTAGCTTTGTGTTTAGACTTTAGACAATAATATTGTCTGTATATTCAATATTGTCACCATATATGAATTATTAGTAACACAAACAAGAGTAAAAAAAGCGTTAGAAGCGTTAAAGTGTTAAACGGTGAAGAATTGAGCTAGGAAGCTGTTCTGTTCAGAATTTGGCACATTTTTGAAACTAGTTAAAACTTGCCAGACGTTTGTCGCATCTGTAGCCAGCAGATTCGCGTTGTCGCCATGCTAGAAACTCCTTTGGTAATTACGCGCGTGTTTTAGACGCTGTGTAAACAATATTTGGCGTTCAATTTGCAAAATTAAATTACTTACGTATTAATACTTCTCTGCATTCAAAAAAATTTCGGTAATTTGTTATTAAATTATCATTAAGTGAAAAAAATACCGTCATTTTGGGAACCATTTTGATTTATTTTTTTCGAAAATTATTATTATTAACAATGGCGGATAGACAAACCAACTTGTACCACCCCCATATAAAAAAATGCAAATTTTTCCTTCAGAATTAAATAAATTAGTTAACGCAAGTTTCTACCACCATTTTGAGCGTCATCTTGATTTTTTGACTACACATTTTTTTATAAAATAAGTAGTAATAAATAGTAAAGCGTATGTACTAGATATAAATCGTGATAATATTTTTGTTTACCTACAACAAGAAAACGATCTTATATAGTGAGTTTTAGTCGCCATTTTGAGCGCCATCTTGGTTTGGGGCTTTAGCAGCCGTATTTCGAGGTGATGACAGGAAAAATCGGATTCAGCGGTCCAATTACCCTAAAAACGCTTCCAAAATGTCTTAAGATTTGCCGATAGAAGATAAGATCTCAAATTGTCGCCCGGACTAATCCACCTACCTTTATCGTAATCGGTCCATCCGTTCTATTTTAAATCGATGGATATGAAGCCATCCAGCGAACGGAAGAGCGATTGGGAGAAAGCATAAGCGTCTCGTTTAGTAACTCGACGCTAAAAAGATGGCGGACTTTTTTTATATTTGCCATAGTGGGATCGAATGGGAGTTTTAGTATGTTATAACTAGAAAGATATTCCCCACATATTAAAAAAAAACCGAAACAACGGAATATCGAAGGATCCTCAGTATTACCATCACTTTTTTAACCACCTTGCAACTTCGATCCATAGGTACCAAGTTGATGTAGATAATGCTCTTGGTGTTTTTCCCAACGATCTCGGTGCATGAATAAGCAACTGTTTGACATGTTTTGATCAAAATAACGGGCGATCAAAAATGAGTGGTGGTTGAGTCGCCTTTGGAAGTTCAAGTTAAGTGCGATATCCCATGTAAACAAAAATTCCAAAGGTGACTCGATAGCAACTTTTTTTTGATCGCATAGTATAATATGTGGCATCAGAAAAATTGAACATCATCACCGGCATCAAGATATTGAAAGCTTTCACTACACTTTGGGCCGTATGAATAAAAGTACCTAAGCAAATGCTTATACTTGCAAAATTCAAAGTAAATACTCGTAACTGCCCCTTCATACTGGTCTGTTTAGCATGGTTTAGCAGCGCTGCACTGCGTCCTGTCGCTTCTGCTTAGAAGCGCTGCTAAGTCGCCCAGTGCGAAGGAGCACTTACGAGTATTTACTTTGAATGTTGCAAGTATAAGCATTTGCTTACTTTTATTCATACGGGCCCTTGTGTAAAGAATAGTTTTAGGTACATTTTGCTCTAAGTGCCTCAAGCAAGATCCATATTTTTTGTACTACAAGATGCTTGGGGAGAAACACCCAAAAGAAGAATATCTATTCGAAATCGGCTGTGTCGTCATTTTATGTGACGATGAGCAACTGGGGAAAGTCGAGAAAATTTATGAAGAACCGAGGAAGAGTGCGTACAATCGGCATCAAAATCCATAGGGGCATTTCGAAACACCCCATCACAAAGATTGCATTCGGAAATAGAATAGCGCTGTTCCCACGAGTGAATATTGCGTCCAGAGTGCACAAAGGGGGAGAATCTTAATGTTGAGATATTGTTCATATACAAACAATAAATTACATCAAGGAGCTAACTATTAAGAAATTTCCCAATTTTCGATGATGACGTGCGAACTTAACGCATTCCGACAGGCAGCAATTAGAAGTTAGTCAAACCCCATTATCTACCTATACGACAGCTACCTAATTCAGCCCTTTAATTAATTACTCGCCATTAATAAAATAGCACCCATTTTTGCGCAAAACTCCATCGAGCCCAATACTTTATAATTGCGGTCCTAATCTGTAACGCGGGAACCTACCCCTTTTTATAATTTTCAAATAGTGCAGTGTATGCGCATTACGAAGAGTCGCGTTTAATTGCAGATGCTGGCATTTGTTTACGTCTCGACGTTCTCCGGTGAAGTAGGCGAGTGTTGCTTTCTCTTACTGTCGACTGTCCCGTTCCCTCTCATTCCTCCGAATTCAGTAGTTTGAGGAAGACGTGTGAGTGTGTGTCGTACAATCTGAAAATTCCCGAGAAAGTCTTCGGTGCAATACAAAGGGGGGTTGCAGACACACCCCGTACGAAAATTAATGCAAAGCGTGCACGCGGTCGTCCCGTATTTCGTCCCCGCAGACGACGGCGATCGAAGGGTGCGTTGAAGACAAAAAGTGCGTTCCCACCTCCTGTTGTCGTTTCTTCGTCTGTGTTGTGCTCATTATTATTTAGCCATAATTAATGGAAACGGGTCGTTCACGGCCCGAATCACCGGGTACCCACATAAACAGTCAAGCTGGAACTAATGGAACTAGAAAACATTGTCGCGAACACAGTTTACCTCAAAGCACGAGAGGGTAAGTTCGACTCGACTTTCAACTAACCGATACCTACACCGTACTTTTCTCAGGTGGTTCCGATAGTAACAAGGGCAAGAGTAAGAAGTGGCGCAAAATCTTACAATTCCCTCACATCTCTCAATGTATCGAAATTATAAATAGAATAGGTTAGTCGTTTCCTGCGAGATCTTCGTGATTTAACCCTCTCGTTTCCAGATGTACGTTATGAATATATCATAGATAAGCAACCGATCGGAAAAATACTATTTAGGCAATGGTGTGAGGCGAAACAATCTCATTATCATCGATGTATAAAGTTTCTAGAGTTAACCGAACGATATGAGGTCGAGACGGACGAGCAACGAATGGAACTCGCCGCATCGATCAAAAAAGATTTCATGGCTGGTCATGAAGGGGAGGAGACACTATCCCTACCCGAGGTCGGCATCGAACTAACCGTCGGCGATAAACTCACCAACGGCCATAAGGAACTCTTCGTTCCTTGCATACAAGCTGTCAAAGCGTTCTTAGCAGGAGAGCCATTTAAAGACTTTACGAATTCGCTGTACTTCCACCGGTATTTGCAGTGGAAGTGGTTGGAGTCGCAGCCGATCACTTACAAAACGTTTCGCATGTATCGTGTCCTGGGCAAGGGCGGTTTCGGGGAGGTGTGTGCGTGTCAGGTAAATAATAATTGGTTTCCTTATAAATTAAGTTGTGTATTATCAATAGGTAGCTGTAATGAAATGTGTCCAGTTTAAATTTAAATTGTTTTGAGATGAAAACTAAGAAATGCCCTGTGCAGTTACTAAAAATCAAAAGTCTGCTGAGGGCAGATTAAAGGCATTTTGGTACCAAAAAGCAGGGTGCATATAAAAATTTGCTCCTTTTCTTAACCATGGAAGATGTCAAAGTGTGAGAGAGTTAGTTATCAGCACTTAATAAATGTATTGTTTATCAAATGTAATCAGTCTCTTTTTGATTTTACAAGTATACAGGGTGGTGACTTGCGTAACGCATCATGGGGATTTCAATGTAAAATTCATAACATGCGATTATTGGCTCCCCAAATTATTTTAGAGCAAAAATGTATTAAAGTTTTTTGTAGAAAACATTTTTTTACGCCATTCAACCGTATTAGTTTTCAATTTTTTGCATAATAAAGACGGAAAATTGGAAAAATAAAACCCGCATCTTTTTCAATAATCTGCGATGCCATGGAATTTTCTAAAACAAAAAGATATCCAGTTATCAATTGGCAGCAGTTCGAAATGGATTTTATGATCGACTTGGTTATCGTCTTGCAGTTAATGGTGGCTTATTCGAACATTTATCGTAAATTGTTATACAGGGTGGCCATTTGAAAACGAAACAGAGCCTATTTTGGGAACCTCAAAACATTTACGAAAAAATCCTCGGACCCGTCAATTTTTGATTCAAGGGGGAACCATTTTTTTGCTAATTTCGCCCACCTAAGGGCAAAGCCCTAGCGGGGGTGACGACCGCCCCCAAAATTTTAAATCGAATAGGGGATCAAGTGATACCTTATTTTGAAGGTATTTTTTTGTGGATTATAACCCTTAAGTTTTAAATTGCTACTAATGTGCCTAGCCGATACAGGGGCTAATAAAAGTTACAAAAACGTGTCAACATTTTCTTATGAAAAAAATGCTTGTAAATGAATTAGTTAAATAACAAAAATTAATACAACAATAAATACATACAAAAAATGTTGTTCTCCTACATTCTGAACCGTACTTTTTTGTTGTTGTTTTTTTTTCTTTTTAATACCTGTAGGTGGCTATGCCAATTCTGCAACGGAAATCTTGGTTATTGTTGAGAGCGTTACTATAGCAACATTTTGAAGTTTAATAGTGCTTGTCAATTGTTGTTGTCAAATCACAGTAGTGACAAATAGCACTTTAAAGCTATTTAGTTGCAAAATCGGTACATTGAACAGTGATAATGGTTTATTCCTGGAGTTATTAGAAAATACGATTCATCCAGCATTAGGGGAGATACAAGAAAATAACGAGTACTTGAAAAATCGTCTAGTATTTCAGCAAGATGGTGCACCACCCCACTATGCTGCAAGGGTTCGTCAATATTTGGACCAAACGTTGCCAGGACAATGGATTCGAAGAAGAGGAGCTATTGAATGGCCTCCTAGTTCCCCAGACTTAAGTACGTTAGATTTTTTTTATGGGGACATTTAAAAACTAAAATTTATGCTAATCAGCCAACATCTCTAGAGAACTTGCGACAAAGAATAATTGATGAATGTCGTCAAATCCCCCCGGAAGTTTTGCAAAATGTACGGGAAATGTTCGAACAAAAGCTGGATTATTGTATGGAAGTCGGAGGCCAACATTTTCAACATTTACTTGATTGATTTTAGCTTTAAGCACTTAAAATAAAACTGATTTAAATCTTAAGAGTTATGATCTACATAAAAATACTTTCAAAATAAGGTATCACTCGACCCCCCATTCGATTTAAAATTTTGGGGGCACTTGTCACCCCCGCTATGGCTTTGCCCCCAGGGGGCGAAACTAGCAAAAAAATGGTTAAAATTGACGGGATTTTTTCGTAAATGTTTTGAGGTCCCCAAAATAGGTTCTGTTTCGTTTTCAAATGGCCACCCTGTATTAGGAAACCGTTTTTAGTAATGTGGCCTTTCTTTATGTTGTAAATATAATCGTTGTAAATATAATACTTTTTGATACAATTTGATTTGTTTTATAGTAGACATTTCCATGGCATAATGGATATTGACGTAGTTTTTTTATTATAAGCATCACAGATTATTGAAAAAGATGGGGGTTTTATTTTTCCAATTTTCCGTCTTTATTATGCAAAAAATTGAAAACTAATACGGTTGATTGACGTAAAAATTTTTTTCTACAAAAAACCTTAATACATTTTTGCTCTAAAATAATTTGGGGGGCCAATAATTGCATGTTATGAATTTTACATTGAAATCCCTATGATGCGTTACGCAAGTCACCACCCTGTATACTGTATTCATTATAAGAAGGTAGCAGATGGCGCTGTGTTTAAAGATAGACACACACAGGGTAAATATAAAACCGCACCAAATTTGAAAAACATGAATATAAATCAAAAGATTTCACATTTGGATTATTGAAATTGACATCTAATGTCAGTTTGACAGTTTAGTTCGTAACCGAAACTGCTAACATAACAAAATTGGTCACACATTTTATTTGTCGGCGTAATACATGGTTTAACCAATCACAGTGAAGGTCAAAGCTTCCCTATGATTTCTACCGCTACCTTCTTAAAATGAATAGAGTATAGTAAAAGATAGCTTATGATATGGTCACTAATGATCAGCATATCATAGAAAAAACAATCGCAAGAGTACCATAATAATGTCAAAAAATAAATGCTAAACAATAGAGGTCCAAGATTGGAAGCCTGAGGTGCTCCATTTATTTGCATTTATAAAAGCATCAATAACTAAGTGATCGTTTTTGCTTGCAGGTTAGAGCGACCGGTAAAATGTACGCGTGTAAAAAGTTAGAAAAGAAACGGATAAAGAAACGTAAGGGCGAAGCAATGGTATTAATCGAAAAACAAATCTTACAAAAAATCAATTCGCGATTTGTAGTGAATCTCGCGTACGCCTACGAAACAAAAGACGCCCTGTGCCTCGTGCTAACGATCATGAACGGCGGTGACTTAAAGTTTCACATTTACAATATGGGAGGCGAGCCCGGTCTCGACATCGTTCGGGCGCGATTTTACGCGGCCGAGGTCGTGTGCGGCCTAGATCACCTGCACCAGCAGGTACGTGCCCGATTCCCGATGGCGCATGGATCTCATTTTCCTTTTAGGGCATCGTGTACAGAGACTGTAAGCCCGAGAATATTCTTCTAGACGATGCGGGACACGTTAGAATATCGGATTTGGGATTGGCGGTCGATATACCTGAAGGTGAATCAGTTAGAGGAAGAGTCGGTACCGTCGGTTACATGGGTAAGTTTTGAATTGAGAGGCTTTCAATAAAGCCGGAAGCCGGGAACCACATCCTTGATAACAAAAATGCGAACTCAATAATTATCGGAATTCGATACAAAACGGGAACGATATTGACCTATTAAATGTGACACATAATTCAATAAAATGAATGTCGACATGGTGTTGACTACTTCAATTACCTGCAATAAAGCGGAGTGGTTTGGAATATTAATTTAAATAACCACTCGAAACAATCATTATTTATAAGCAGGATGTTAAAACACTTACAATAATCATTCACGCACATATAAAGTCTAATGGACCCATCAATATACAGGGTGTCTTACTTTATTTTGTTTGAATTCATTTATTTACAGTCGTCGATACAGAGGTAAGTGATGGTAAGTAAATTTGTACGAGTCTCCAAAGGTTTTTTCATCAAAAATTCTCAATAATCCCTAAAGCTTTTTAGTGAACCTTTAGAGTCTGAGTATTGAATAATTTTTAAGTGTTCTGAAAAATTGTTAGACCTTTCACAAACATTTAGGAATCTCTAGAGCAGGGGTCGGCAACCTATTGAAATGAAAGCCAAAAATTACAATTTACCAAATTTCCCAGTTTTTAAAGAGCCACAAAAAATTGTTGATTCAATATTATAGTATTTGGCTATATACATGGTCCTGCAACAGTGCGTCGGTTTTTCCTACATAGCTGATACCTGGTTGCGGATCTACAGAAATTATTTTTGAATGTACAGGGTGTCCCATTTTTACGATGTCAATAAATAACTGATCTTTTTAAATAGAACATCCTGCATATTTTTACTTGTTTCAATGCCATTTGTTCAAAGCGCTATAACTATTGTTTTTCAAATGGAACTACCACTATTTTATTTCGCTATTCGATTGTCTTTTGTGTTCTTTTCAATGTTTATGAGGGGTGCTCTGTGCTTAAGCCCCGCAGTTTTTATGTTATTCAATATTTTTCACAAAAGAACCTACTCCTTAATTAATTACGTGTTTATACATGGGAGTAGGCTGCTATAATAAAAAAACAAAAGAATACCAGAAAGTAAACAAGTGTCACAAATTAGATAATTATTTGCTGGAAGGTACTTTTGATTTCGTAATTAATTAAAAAGGCGAATTTCGAACAAATGAACTAATTTAGATAAATACGGAGAGCCGCAACTTTATATCAAAAGAGCCGCAGGTTGCCAACGCCTGCTGTAGCGCATTTATAGCTCGCTAGCAGTTTCTAATACCTTAAAGGTTTTTGTGAGCTTCCAAAGGTTTTCTCTTAACACAGAACTTTAGTTTTTAAAAAAAAAGTACTGAACCCGAATTTTGAAGAAACTTTTGGACTCTTCACATAGTTTCAGGGTCTTTTGAGACCATTTAAAGATCTTGTATTGTTTTGTGTGTGTGAGGGTAAGGCTCCTTGTTTGGCCAGTTCATCTGCCTGCAATGCCAGAATGCCCTGGCACCCACCATAGTGTGATACGGTTGCCAGTTGTCTATTTCTTTAGTGTGTACTCCCATACTAGTTTGGGAGTTACAGATATAGTACCCCCCAGGTTGTACAGGGTGAATCAACGATTGCGCGGAGTAGCTTAATACCTTGAAGATAAGATTTTTCCATAGAGTGCTTTTGTATTATGATATGGTTGAATATTCTCCACATTTTAAAAATATTTGGAATTATACAGGGTGCGCCCACAAAGTAGGGCGCCAAAATGGTACATTTTTTTAAATAGAACCCCCTGTATTTGAATGCATTTTTGAATTCCACGTGTAATTGTACGTCTTTTATTATATGGTTAATATCCGAAAAGCTAGTAGTTTTCAAGATAATTCAATGTTTAAGAAAAATTGGACATTTGCAAACGTCAGTATATATTGTCAAAATGATTACTTAAATTTTGATTCCAGGTTTTATATCTTAGCCTGAGTTAAGTAAAAGTCAAATAAGTACATCTACTATGAAACATTAAAAATATAGCTTACAGGGTGTTTTTTTTGGTAGGTCCAAAGTTGCAAAACTTCATATTAAAAAATCTCTCTTTTTAAATGAAACACCCTGTATATTTTTCTGTCATCATTTAGCTCTTCCAAAAACCTTCAACTTTTGAGAATAATGTCCTATACCTATCTCTGATAGTTTTCGAAATATCTTGGTTTTCCTGGATTTTATATTCTAATCTTAAATAAGTTATATGTAATTTACATATTAGTGAGGTGGCCATGAAAAAAAAAGGCAATTTTTATTCTACAATGTGCGCGTTCTGTCGAAGCTGGGGCTAATTTTGGTTGGCGCTTTATTTGTCAATACTGGAAGAAGGAGATTTATTTTATTATGAAAGCGGTGTTTCGTTAAATACTGCTGGCTGATTCCCGACGGTTGGAAAGCTTTTTTTTTAATGTTACTTATTGGGGCTGTCCGCCTGATTTGATGGAAGACGTAGTTTGTCTTTAGTATAATAATTTGGTGCAGAAGCAAGTTAACACAACGCGTGTGGTCCGTATCCAGAAATAGTAAAGGGAACAGTTTTAGTGCAGTGAGAGGCCTTCTGTAAGGTCTGTTGTTCTTAAAAAAATATAAGTTTACACAGCCACCCAGACTTTTTATCGTCGTATTCAACAAGCCAGTTCGTTTATCAAGTTTGTGTGTTAAAGTGAAGTTCAGAAGTTGTCACCAGTTGATTTAAGTGCCCCGGTTTTATCGCAAACCTTGTTATGACTAGATTTTTTTGATTATAAACAAACGAAAAAACTATGTAATTTAAGAATTTTTTTATTTTTTTTTACTATCGATCGTCTGCGTACGGGGTACTATGTAAAAACAAGCTTTATTGCAGGAATTTTGTTTTAATTTTCATTTCGTGTGTTTTGGAATAAACTTTTGTCATTGTCAATCATTTAATTGTGTGTTTATCCAAGATTTATTTCAGGTGTTCTAAAACTAATTGTAATAAGTTGTTTCGAATTTTCGGAAGTTGCTCGAGGCCACCGAGTCTTCTAAAACTTTTAATTCAAATCAATATAGGGATTTTTCTTGTAGCAGATACTGGAAGCTAGAAGCGTGTTTAATGGAAGTTCTAACATCGACGTCGAATTGATTAGTAGTGATTTCGCGCTCATGCATGATAAATTTACAGATTATAAACTTGTGTACAAGTGAGTGATAAATACTAATTAACTCTTATAAATTTATTATTAATTATTTGTAAATAAATAAATCACGTAATTAAATGTATGTAACAATATTTTGTTGTTGTACAGCAAAATTTCAAATATCTTCTAAAAAAAACTGTCTTCATATTTCCTTCAAGATATTCCCTTAAAATGTGCATTACTCAAATTGTCTTTTGGCAATCGATTTTGGCTTAAATCAATCTTTATTTTTTCAGCACCCGAAGTGATCGACAACGAAAGGTACACATTCTCGCCCGATTGGTTTAGTTTCGGCTGCCTACTGTACGAGATGCTCGAGGGTCAGGCGCCCTTTCGCGCCCGCAAGGAGAAGGTTAAACGGGAGGAGGTCGATCGGAGGGTGAAATCCGAACCCGAAAAGTATTCGAATAAGTTTAGCGAAGATGCCAAATCGTTGTGCCAACAGTTGCTGGCGAAGAGTCCCGCCCAACGTCTCGGAGGTAAAGTCGGAAGGTTGGGCGCCTCGTTAGTCAAGCAACACTCGTTCTTCCACCCGATAAATTGGAGGCGGCTGGAGGCCGGATTGGTCGAAGCGCCTTTCGTTCCTGACGTATGTGGGATCGTTGCAATACAAACGTCTATAATTTTTCTTTGCAGCCGCACGCAGTTTATGCCAAGGACGTACTGGACATTGAGCAATTCTCGACAGTGAAAGGTGTAAATATTGACGCAACCGACTCGACGTTCTACAGTAAATTTAATACCGGTTGCGTGTCAATTCCTTGGCAAAATGAGATGTTAGAGACGGATTGCTTTAGACAATTAAATGTGTTTGGTCCCGGTGGATCTCGAACACCGGATCTGATATTAAACGTGGTTAGTGCTCCAGAAAATAATGGCTGTTTTCCGTTTAGGAGAAAGGTGAGTATGGGTCCAGCCAAATGGAGGTTTTCCATAACAAAATTGCGGAAGTTTTTTCTCGTCGGTTTTGTTTTAACGATATTTTTTAATTTTTAATATTTCTTTTTAAACCCCCTGTAAGTATTTGTTTAAATTAAATTATCAACGCAATCCACTAAGCTGGAATTTTCAAAACAAAATAATATCAAATGTAGAAAAAATGGGCAGTTGTGATTGGGTGTTTGGCCATTTTTGACATAAAGATGTCAAAAACAACTAAATTTAGGTACCTATATGATACAAAAGGTTTTTTTTTAATTGGACGTCGAAGTTGGCTATGCAAAATTGGAATTGTGCAATCCAAATTCATACAGCTGACGGAGTAAACAAGATGTGAACCTCTTTCTTTTTCTAAGATGTAAAGAGACCTTTTTGCCCACCAAAAAGATGGCCGCCACACGAAAATTTGCTTCAACGCGCACCATTGCTCTTGATAGAATATTTTCAGTCCTCGTCTTCCGTAGTCTAAGTTACCAGCATTCTAATTTAAGGTTATGTTTTCGCCTTTATGGGTTCACGAGTTTGTCATGGCCAACTTTGACGCCAGATTTTAAAAAGACTCGTTACATGAAGCGCATAGGTAATATAGAATTTTAGGTAGAATATCAATTCAAATAATATATATAGGGTGTTCCACTTCAAGTTGGCGTCAACTGCCAGTTTAAAAATTAATTTAGATGAATTCCTCTTATCAACATTCGTGTACTGTCAAATTTTCAAACTACTTTGAGGTCTCTGTATAGAAGACAATTTTTTTGACAATGGTTATTGGCCATTCTATAACATACACTAGCAATTTTGTTTTTTTTAATGGTATTGACACTGAAGAACAGCGATTTTTTTCCATAAATAGATCAAAGTACACCTGCAACTTAGAAAATATACATATATACACCCTTAGAGTTTTTACGTTTTTATCACGTTGGCTGTCGCGGGTTCACTAAAAACGCGCGTATGACATTTCCAAATCCCTTGCGCGACTATTCGGTTCTGTCATTTTAAATTTTAACTAAACACAACACGTGGTCCAAATCAAATCTGTCCATTCCTCTGACTGAATGTATTTAGAGCGAACGCTCGAGTCGCGTTTTAATTATCTGTCGCGGGTATCTAGGAGGGAGGAGTGATAAACAATGATCGTAAAGTGAAGCAATAATTTATTTGCCCACCAGTAACATGGCCGCTGAAAATGCAATATTGTTTGGGTTGTAAGGGACTTCTGCAATTTTTTTACATAAACGTCAGTTTTAAACACCATTAACTCCCATCTCGCTAAGGACATTTGAATGGTTTTTTTTTCAATTTCAGAAAAAGCAGCCGGCTCGATTGCGCCCGATACCTATTAATCCAATGTTTCTTCCTCAAGGTACAGAAAGCTGATGTAACGTCTGTAACTTGGATTTGTACTACGCCATTTTTACAAATATTTCGTCTTCGTCTTCCTCAAGTACTGCACAATCACTTATTTCGTTAAATAAACCAAAACAATTCAGTTGTAGGTTGTTTGTATTTTGTACCTGTGCACGTTTCGTATTTCAGTAAGTGACCGATTACGTAAAAATAATTGTATAAATTGCGCTTGCTTTACAATTTTGATAAAAAGTAACATTTTTTTACCGTCGAGTTGGATGTCGTCACTTTCCAATTTGTTAATTACTGAAATGCGAAGATTAGTAATGACTAGGTGTCACAAATAGGGCATTGCGTTTATATAACTGAATGTATTCTCATTCCACAACTACAAACATGTAACGTACATTAATGTATGGTAAGTTATAGTTAGGTAATTGATGTATTTAAAAAGACCATTATATTGTTTTATTGTGATATTAAACTTTGCGTTTTAAATGTAGGATCGATCGCACGGATCTTCCGTGTGTCTTCCTTCACGTTCTCTCTGTTACGTTTTATAGAACTTGTGTACAAAAATAATATTCGACAACTAATTTGCAGTTTACAATTTTCAAATAAAACATTTGTTACTTCATTTTTTCATAGTTTAACACTGCGGGTTGACCGGTGGCTCCCTCTGATGGATGATTTCAATAACTTTTTGATCCAGATTTTAGTTATTCTCTTACAATTATGACGGCGAAGAGGAAGTGTATTGCACAGTCTGTTATGGGGACAATAGCTAATATTAAGGCATTTACTGAGGAGTAAAACTGCTGCAGCTGACAGAAGAAAAAAATGATATTAAAAAGTTGACTACCAGAAAAAATATCTGGATGTTCTCCTGTGATGATGGATGATGGGTCAAGATTGGTGTGTAATGCAATAATACCCCATCGTCAACCAAAAGACCTTCCTCTCGAATATAAACTGCAATGCCGCTGTGCAACTGAACGCCTACAATTAAGCAAGAAGTCCTGGTTGCCAATACCCTTGTCCAACGATGTGTGACTGGTTCTGAAGGTGAGGGAAGGCGTGTTGTTGCAAGCCAAATCGGTAAATATAGTTTGGGCCATCGCAGCCACAAGGATTTACTTCTGGCAAGGACTTGGAGAAATGTAAATCCCGATCGTGTCTTCATTAGACTAATGAATATAAATGGATATATCGTACAAATAAAGATAGGAATGATTTTACAGACCCAAAAATGTGATATTCAGCCAGTATCAAAAGCCCTCGAACAAAAATCTATACGATTGTCACACCAAAAATCCCCTAAACCTTGGGGTCGAGCAAATAAAAGATCTCAAAAATTGCTGTTGCAGGACCTAGATGTCTTATCAATTGGACCAAATGATTAATAAGAAAAAGTGTTTTCCCGAGAAATTTTGGTGCAGTCGGTTTTTGGTAAAAAAAGGAAGGTTATACACTGCCTTTTTTTGAGCCCCGAAACAAAAATTGTCTCAGATCGACCGGGAAAAAAGATTTTCTTATAGAATGTGGCCTGTAGAATCCATAATTTCAAACAATTCCAAGATTGGGCTACTAGTTCAAAAGTTACAGCCCTTTGAATTTTCTTTCGAAATTGGTTTCTAGTCTATAACTTTTTTTTGAGAAGTCTGATCGAAAAAGTACGAATTGTTTTGGATTCTACGCACCAAAATTAATAAGAAAAAGTGTTTTCCCGAGAAATTTTGGTGTAGTCGATTTTTGGTAAAAAAGGAAGGTTTATACACTGTCTTTTTTTGAGCCCCGAAAAAAAATTTGTCTCAGATCGACCCGGAAAAAAAATTTCTTATAGAATGTGGCCTGTAGAATCCATAATTTCAAACAGTTCCAAGATTGGGCTACTAGTTCAAAAGTTAGAGCCCTTTAAATTTTCTTTCGAAATTGGTTTCTAGTCTATAACTTTTGAATGAGAAGTCCGATCGAAAAAGTACGAATTGTTTTGGATTCTACGCCCCAAAATTAATAAGAAAAAGTGTTTTCCCGAGAAATTTTGGTGCAGTAAATTTTTGGTAAAAAAGGAAGGTTATACACTGCCTTTTTTTGAGCCCCGATAAAAAATTACCTCAGATCGACCGGGAAAAAAGATTTTCTTATAGAATGTGACCTGTAGAATCCATAATTTCAAACAGTTCCAAGATTGGGCTACTAGTTCAAAAGTTACACCCCTTTGAATTTTCTTTCGAAATTGGTTTCAAGTCTATTACTTTTGATTGAGAAGTCCGATCGAAAAAGTACGAATTGTTTTGGATTCTACGCCCCAAAATTAATAAGAAAAAGTGTTTTCCCGAGATATTTTGGTGCAGTCGATTTTTGGCCTTTTTTTGAGCCCCGAAAAATAAATTGTCTCAGATCGACCGGGATTTCTTTATTTAAGTTCATCGACGTCTATCCGCTACTATGGTCCAAAATGATTCTGATCGACGCGGACGGCGGGTGACCATCGGCGATTCGAATAAACGCTGCCCGGGAGTCTTCGTCGGGCCCGAGCATACTCTAGCTCCTTGGTTGTCAGGAATTCCAGACAAGATTACTCACTAAAAATGTAAAGCGTGTTGCCCGTTTTACGGAAAAAGTTAGTCAAGTTGAAGGAAAAGAAGCAGTCGTAGTGCACTGTTTGGCCAGTTCGTTTATGATCAAATTTTTATTAAACAAGTTCTGAAGCTTTTTAAATATCGACTGTCTGCGTACGGAGTACCGTGTAAAATCAAAAACTTTATTTCCGGAATTTTGTTTTTTTTTCCATTTAATGTGTTTCGGAATACATTGTTGCCATTGTCAATCAATTAATTCGAATCCACCCGCAGAGTTTTTATGTCAGATTTATCTCAGGTGTTGATCGATCCGAGACCAGGAACACAGAAGAACTTTTTTAGACATAAGTGACCGTTGGGATGGTGATGGACTGCGGAAAGATCAACTGATGAGGAAATCACACCGCCAATTCTCATCAATCTGGAAAATGGTTAGCAGAGGCCGAGATTGCATAACCAAAAGCCATTGGGTTCAGTGGGACTCCCTAGTAGTCGACGTATGACTTTGATGGGAAGCGGAATAATCTTCCAGATCGCTCTCCCTAGACAGAAGTGCCACAGGAATGTCACCTTACCCAAGACTAGAGAGCGGTTTTATTGTGTCAAAAACCGTGTGGACGTGGTGCCGAGGGTGCATCAACTTTGCAGCCAGCAAACGGACCAAAGACTCAAAGTGGGGGACCGGAGGAAGAGTATTTGGTTGGAGCGTCGTTCGAGAGAATTGCTGCGAATCAAAACTAGGCGCCCATGGATTACCTACTTTAGCAAGTGGAGGATCATGGTTAATAAACTATTTTGCCGATTTAGGATTCCCAGGTGGCTGCTGCATTCTAATCAGGTTAGTAAGAACGCCAGGTCCGACATGAGAGCTAGCGCGTCCTGTTTCCAAGATGAGAATCAGGTGTGACCCGATGTACCAAAAACAAAGTTTCAAGTTACAGACGCTATCAGATGGACTGTATACTGTGACCAATCGAATGGAATATAAAAGTCGTCCATCTGCATCAACTGTCGCTGCTCATCAAGAGGGCTTGCTGATTTCGTTGACTCAGAAACTTTGTTGGACACGGAATCTGCACCAGACACCTATTTGTGTTTGTTGTTATTTTTAGTGTTTAGTTTTACCTGTGTAGGGGCGGGAAAGAATACCCCTACCGCAGAAGGCACTGCGTGTCGTAAGAGGCGACTAAACAATTGCACATCGGCCACAACACCCAATATGAATATGGTGTGAAAAATGTAAAATTTGTTGTTAGCGCGTGGCTAGTTTTTCAATTCAATTACTGATTTCTACCACCACTTTTAGCCGGATCAATAAGATCACGTTGCCTTACGCTCATGCACTCATCAATCGATGTAGTTCTCCTTTTCTGGCAAGGATTGCTACGAGGAGCAGTAATTCACCAACAGATGGTGTTGAATCCGTACCTTCGACGGTTTCATTTTTTTTACATTGGACCTCACCAAGATGTAGGTATCATTGCCGTATATATGTCGAGAAACGAAAAAATGTAAAGAAACCAAAGAATGATGAATCTAAAGCACATCTGAAGAACCTAAGGGGAAGAATTGAATGTAAAAATTCGAAGAATCTTATTAAGAGACCAAATGCAAAAGCGATAAACGAAGAAACAAGAATTTGAGGACACATAAGGACCTGATGTAACTTAAGACTTTGAAAAATCGGACGGATTTTAGGTGAATTTATCTTTGCCACGGCCGAAAGCAAAGTTCCGAGTGAGTTATCTTACATTTATGATCCTTGTGATTCGTTGAAATCTTCCACCTATCTCCAAGTTTAATAAAGCTCAAGATTTTGCGGAATCTTCATTTTCTTTGGATGCTTCCTGCTGATTCTCAGATCGTCAAAGGTTTTTAGAATTCATTATAGTTTCCCCAAAACATTTCGAATTTTCAAATTATAAATAATAAATAAATAAAATAGCTCATCTCCCCATAAGGTCTCCAAATCTTTTAAAAATCTATTTGAAACCCCAGAAACTATTCAAAATCCTTGCTCAGAATCTAAACAGAGTTTCAACGTGTTAACTTCGTTAGAATCTCTCAATTTTATTATTTCTTCAAAACCTCCAAAGGTTTACGAATTTAATTTATCTCAATTATTTCCAGGTTCTACACAAAATTCATTCACAATGTCTCTGAATCTCTTGAATTCTTTAAGAACTCCGTAATTTGCTTCCAAATCTTCAATACTCTTCAGCAGTTCTTTAAAGTTTGGGTACAAGTAGGTAACAAAACAAGGTAGCTGTACAACAGATGACTCATATTTGGTATTGTTAAAAGGAACATGGAAAATTACACCGCTTTGGGGGTCAAATTAACGTTAACAACGAAATATGTGGAAATTAATGAATCGCAACTCATATCGCAGATAAATTCTAAACCGCAGAGTTTTATTTGCAGGATCTCACCCCTGGTAAATTTGACCCTCGTGCGGGAATTTCAAGCCAATTAAGATTCGAGATCATTCACAGCTTTAGATGTTTGGTTACAGTAATTCCCATCCCTAACTGTGACTGTCTCTTCAGGGCGAATAGTGTTATATATTCAGGGTGGAACATCTCGAGGTGGTCCTTATTCTTCGTATTGATTGTTGAAGAAGTAAAGAAATAGAAATTTTAATGGGGGGGGGGGGGGAATAATGCTTGCAGGATCCGAAGGGTTAATCTAGATGGAAGATGAGCAGGTTGCGAAATATTTATTCTTGCTATCATTCTCACAAGGGGGGGGGGGCAGATCCGGATAAAAACAAAATGCGCAAGATTCTCTATAGCCCTTGATTTTAGGGAGTGGTATATTTTGGAAACTAACTTCTCCCCCCTCTATGTACTACATATAATATGCAGTTAACGCCCGTCCATTTCTTTGTCTGAAGTCAAAATTCATCACTCAGACAGAA